AAATATTTTGCCTTATGCCTAACTTAGTAAAGTATATTTTGTAAAACTCGACTTATTTAAAACTCGGCTTATTTTAAAACTCGGCTTATTTAAAACTCGGCTTATTTAAAACTCGGCTTATTTAAAACTCGGCTTATTTAAAAATCGGCTTATTTAAAACTCGGCTTATTTTTTTTATGATCCTTCTGAATGTCTGGTAACAAATATTACGTGACAAATCATACATAACAAATCATGCGTAACAAATCATATATAACAAATTATACATAACAAGTAATACATAACAAATCATACATAAATAATACATAAACCATATATAAAAAAATCATACATAACAAATCATACGTAAACAATACATAAATCGTACATAACAAATACATAAATCATATATAACAAAAAAATACATAACAAATCGTACATAACAAATGATACATAAATCATTACGTAACAAATAATACATATACGTAAGAAATCATTCGTAACAAATCATACGCAAAAAATAATGCATGAATCTTACGTAACAATAATACATATGATAGTAAGAAATCATTCGTAACAAATACTACGTAATGTTTTCCGGTTTTTTTTTAGCTTCCACTGAAAGTTAAACTAATGATATTTTTGTGCATTGTCCCAGTACTTATATTTTAAATACAAAATCTAAAGTAAAATTAGTTAACAATGATTTTAATACAGAAAAATCTGAAATAATCGAAGAAAATAATTTTAAGAAAAATATCAAGTTAAATTGTTAATTTTTTTCGGATCATGTAATCGTTATTTCAGTTTTTTAAGTGAAATCTGGAAGATTATTTGAAAATTTATCTGTAATAATCCAAGTTGTGGTTGATAATGCTGCCACCTAGCGGACATGAAACCAGACTAGAGCTTCATAATGCTGCCACCTAGCGGACAGATCCAGATAGAGCTTCATAATGCGCCACCTAGCGGACATGATCCAGACTAGAGCTTCATAATGCTGCACCCTAGCGGACATGATCCAGACTAGAGCTTCATAATGCGCCACCTAGCGGACATGATCCAGACTAGAGCTTTCATAATGCTGCCAAACCCAGCGGACATGATCCAGACTAGAGCTTCATAATGCTGCCCTAGCGGACCTGATTCCAAACTAGAGCTTCATAAAAGCTGCCACCTAGCGGACATGATCCAGACTAGAGCTTCTAATGTGCTTTCTAGTGGACCTGGTCCAGACTAGAGCTTCATAATGCCGCTAAATACTGGACCTGGTCCAGACTAGAGCTTCATAATGCTGCTACCTAGTGGACCTGGTCCAGACTAGAGCTTCATAATGCTGCCACCTAGCGGAACTGACCAGACTAGAGCTTCATAATGCTGCCACCTAGCGGACCTGATCCAGACTAGAGCTGGCAAAATTAGCTGTTTTTGTATCATTCAGTGGATAGACTCGGTGCAAGTTGGAGGTTGCACTCCTGCACTCTTCTGGCGGCTTATGGTCTGGCGTGGGCTTTGAACCAAACATACATGTTCAACAACAAAAGCAAGGCTTCCCTCTGTGTCTATTACTTCTTCCAGCGAGATGCCAACCGCACGATACTCTATAGTAATTGCTGGGAAAGGCGCCAGTATAAATTATTTCACTCTGTTATCTAATATATTAATTTAATAGCTTAGATATTTAATTTGTTTATTATCTCCCTTGTGTATATTTCATGTTAAGAAAACAAGAAAGAAGACGAGGTAGCAGTGAAATATTAATGTCTGTTTACAGTGTGCAAACAACTCTTGCTTTCTGGACTCTGGAGGTAGAGCTTTTATCGTGGAGCTCCTTCTTAGGGTTTCCCCTTTATGGTGAGGGGGGGAAGAGCCTTGATGTTGAAGAGGGACTCTTGATCCAACGAAAATGCAGCTACCCTTTTCTTTAGGGTCAAACTGATTTCCTCCCAATACCACGTTATAAATCTTGCAAACAAAGCGGCCAGGAAAGCTTACATCAGTCAGATGTATTTCGCATTTATTCAAAAAGTAGGGGTTGCAAGATTCTATATGGGGCATAAATTTCGCTCACACCTTGAGAATGCTCCACTTTCTTGAATTGCCTCACCCCATTTTTCCTGCGACTTCTTGACAGAATAGAGAACAGTAAGAAAGACTCATCTCTCGCCCGGACCCAGCCTGGACAGACGTCGCTTTTGACCACTACGGTTTAATGCTTCCCACGATGGTTAGAAAAGGTTCGTCAGGAAAAGGACAAGTGGTTCCTGACGTGGGGGCTTTTGTCATTTGAACCGCCGTTGGGTTAAATTTATATAATTTTTTATATATATATTATATATATAAACAATACAGTTTCCAAAGACTGGACTCACGCAAAGTTGCAAACACCTGAAACATTATGCTGATTACATCTCACCAACCTCATTTTCATACTGTTGATAGAGTAAATAAACTTAATGACTTCTCAACTATATACATTATTATATATATATATATATATATATATATATATATATATATATATATATATATATATATATATATATATATATAATTATACAGTGTGTGTGGGTCGGTGGGTGGTTGCAGGGGTCGAGTCTCTTCACTCGAAGCTACTAGGTCTCCTCTCTCTTCCTTCTCCATGAGCTTTATCAAACCTCGTCTTAAAATTATGTATGGATCCTGCCTCGACTACATCACTTTCCAGACTATCCCACTTCGTGACAACTCTTTGACTGAGGAAATACTTCCTAACATCCCTTTAACTCAACTGAGTCTTCAACTTCCAATTGTAAACCCTTGTTTCTGTGTCCCATCTCTGGAAGATTCTGTCTTTGTCCACCTTGTCAATTGTAAAATATTTCTTTGTCTCTTTATAACTGTAAAATGTTCTTCTTCCAATTTAAAAAGATTTGTCAATTATTTTTTATGTATTTAATATCACATGCTATTTCATAAATCTTCAATATTTCCTCATCTATAAGTTCTCAGGAACATGGAGGAGAATACAAAATATTTAACTGTAATGATGTAAATACTAATACTAGTATACATAGGAGCAAGTATTTGTTGGTTTTCTGTATATGTTGAATTTAAATTCTTGGTTTCCCTTAATAATTAAAACATCTTAGAAGGGCAATGAATTATTCTGTTCAACTCAACAGTAAACTGTAAGGCGCTAGACTATTTAATTCAATTAGGAATTGGTTTATGTTCATATTCTTTGGCACTAAACACAGATTGTCATCGACATATCTGAACCCATTTAGTTTTATCAAGAATTCTTGTAATCAGTCACGTTCGAAAAAATTCCATGTACAAATTGCTAGGGAGAAGAGAGAGGATTTCCCATTGCCATACCAAACTTCTGAGTATAAAAATCTACTGATTTATCCACTGATGATATCAATATAATTAAGAGAAAGGCTTATAGTTCCATGATTACAAAAAATATTCCTAAATTCATATGAAAATCTTAAATATAGTGAAAATTTAAATATTACTGAAGTGGGAAAAATAAATGCAGAATTAAAAATGAAATATTATATAAGGTGAATAATCTACTGAACGATACAAATAATTACTGAATACTCAGAATTCCTTCGAGTCAGTTATTAGTAACTTTAACAAGACGACAAAATGACTACCAAGAGGCAAATATGAACTAATTAAAATAATCATTACCACTAATCCATCTTTACCATATATGTACTGATTAATTAAAGGATAAACCTGGTAATCCAGCTAAATCAATAATTAGCTTCATTGGCTCAGTCACCTACAAATTATCCAGATGACTGACCCACCTGTAGGTGAAGTTTCTAACTTTAGTGTGAGGAATGTTATTGATTTAACTGACAAACTAAACACCATAACTGACTTAAATAATTACAGTATGGTTAGTTTTGATGTCACATTGTTGTTCACAAAAGTACCAGTTGAGAACTTATTAAGTTTCCTATCCGAAAACTTTTGCAATTATCATTGATCATTACTTATTAAACTTTACATTGTTGATGCAAAGGCTGTGTTTAATGACAAGTTTTATACTCAGAAGTTTGGCATGGAAATGGGAAATCGTCTCTCACTTGTCCTTAGCAAAATATACATGGAATTATTTGAAACAAGACTAATTAAAGGTATTCTTCCTGAATTCTTTAGGATTGAATATATTAGATTCATTTACTAGGAATAGAATTTGTGAGGATTTTAAACTATGTCTGACATATCATTCATAAACTTTACTTGTGACCTGACAAAATCTTCACTGAATTACCATTCTCAGCAAGTTAGGTCATATGTGAGGTCATAACTTGGCTCTATAAGTCTTGTTTTTCAATTATTTTTACTTTTCCTTGATAATGTGAGTAGCAAATACCATACAGATAGTCTTAATGTGGAAAAAGCCACATGGGAAAATAAATATTTAAATCAAAATCTTTTGCACACTGTACATCGTCAGGAACTACGCCATGTTGCAGGACTGACAACAGACAGAAGGGAAAATTCTCTCTGAAGTAAGACAGAAGCGTATCAGCAGTGGCACGTGTTACAGTGGGGTGTGAGGGCCATCCGCTAACCCACCCCACCTCCCTTCCTCTCGCTTCCCCTTCCTGGGTTAGGGGAGGGGAGAGCCTCAGAGATTTACAGAAAGTTGCAGAATAATAAGGAAAAGTGGTAGTCAGCCCAAACCTCATCTAATCGATATCAATTGATCTAGTGCAGTATGGAATCATATTACCCACACACGCTCAGGCTTTAACTTTGCATTAATATACGAATCAGATGTGCTTGTTGTCACCCTCCCTCCCTCCCTACCTACCTACCTGCCTACCTACCTACGTCCCCCACGTGTACCTCATCGTCTACCTTCCTGGTACACGACAACGTGTAAGAATTTTTCAAAACAAAACAGTACAACTCACAGTGTAAACTTTACAAATACTCCATAAGAGTGTGTGAGACCCAGCAGCATGAACTTAGTACCTTTGTAACACCACAGAAGAGCGTGTATGACTTACCTGAAGGAGCTTTCTTGCCGCGCATACCGAGGAAGCCTGAGGGTGCACGCTTCAGCAGGGTTTCCAAGTCGCTGTGGTAGCCAGCTTCGCCAAAGACTTCTTCATCACTCTTCTTGCCTCGCATACCCAGGAAGCCTGAGGGAGCTTTCTTGGCTGCAAGGAAGAAGAAGCGTGAGTTAAGGGTGGCCAGAGAGGTACTGGTGTTATAAAGGAGAATGCTGAGGTAAGGAAGGAGAGTGCTGGTATTAGACAAAAAGAATGCTGATGTCAGGAAATAGGGTGCTGATGTCAGGAAATAAGGTGCTGATGTCAGGGGAAAAGGGATGTTGGTGTCAGGAATAAGGATGCTGGTGTCAGGAAAGAGTACTGGTATCAGGAAAGAGTGTACTGGTGCCAGGAAAGAGGGTAATGGTGTCAGGAAGGAGAGTGCTGGTGTCAGGAAGGAGAGTGCTGGTGTCAGGAAGGAGAGTGCTGGTGTCAGGAAGGAGAGTGCTGGTGTCAGGAAAGAGAGTGCTGGTGTCAGGAAGGAGAATGCTGGTGTCAGGAAGGAGAGTGCTGGATATTTGTAATTAAACTTTTAAGATTAAAAATAAATTGTAATTGACTTGTAAATGTAATACCTTCTTAAATTACATCATAAATCTGGGGCATTATGATGGGCTGAAAACAGAAATTACACATTAAATGAAACAAAACTGTACACAAACGGTATACAATGGTGCACAACTGTACACAGATGGTACACAATTGTACACAACTGTACACAATGGTACAAAAACTGTCAAGTTTTGAAAAGGTATGTACAAGAGAACTGTGCTCCATTCAACTTTGATCTCTTGGCCTATTAGACGAATTCTCAACCAGAGATACTACCTCTGAATTAATTGAATTCATGCTAAGCGCTAAACCCACGTGAGTCATTCAGCGCAAGGCATAGTGGAGGCTTGATCCCCCGTCTACTGAGTGCGTGACAGATCCTCTTCCTACTTGTACTCACCCGTATGAACATCAAAATGGTATACAATACCGACAGGTTGGTAGGTAAGACACATAGGCAACTTTATTTCGGAATAAAGTTGCCTAACTGTTGCCTATGTGTCTTACCTACCTAATCACCTGTATGTAAGTACAAAAAAAATGCTAGGCTGCAAAGCCACTTCATAGCAGAAAATTAAGTCCAGCAGGAAATGCTTGTGGTGCCAGCAACTTTCCTTGAAGCACACCTGATTGTGACCCGGAAATTTACGAGTACTTTCCATGCTTTAATTTTAACGAGTTTTAATAATGTGGAAATGGATGCAACTTATGTCAGTTGATAAATAACAAACAAAGACACAATACCGTGACTGGAACAAGAAACACATAACCCGCACGTAGAAGAGAGGAGCTTAAGACGACTTTTCGGTCCGACTTGGACCATTTGCAAAGTCGTCGTAAGCGGGTTGTTTGTGTATTGTGTCAGTCGTTTTATACCAATAAAATCAGTATAATCTTCATTAACACGGTGTAAAATAACTCATTTGCAACTTTCTGCAACACCTGCAAAAACAGTTTCTAGTTTTTTCAACTTCTAGATATACTTTCCTAGTTTAAACTGTAGTGAATGAAAAACTATTAAATATTTTGCCTTATGCCTAACTTAGTAAAGTATATTTTGTAAAACTCGACTTATTTAAAACTCGGCTTATTTAAAACTCGGCTTATTTAAAACTCGGCTTATTTAAAACTCGGCTTATTTAAAACTCGGCTTATTTAAAACTCGGCTTATTTAAAACTCGGCTTATTTATTTATGATCCTTCTGAATGTCTGGTAACAAATATTACGTGACAAATCATACATAACAAATCATGCGTAACAAATCATATATAACAAATTATACATAACAAGTAATACATAACAAATCATACATAAATAATACATAAACCATATATAACAAATCATACATAACAAATCATACGTAACAATACATAAATCGTACATAACAAATACATAAATCATATATAACAAATAATACATAACAAATCGTACATAACAAATGATACATAAATCATACGTAACAAATAATACATATACGTAAGAAATCATTCGTAACAAATCATACGCAACAAATAATGCATGAATCATACGTAACAATAATACATATGATACGTAAGAAATCATTCGTAACAAATACTACGTACATGTTTTCCGGTTTTTTTTTAGCTTCCACTGAAAGTTAAACTAATGATATTTTTGTGCATTGTCCCAGTACTTATATTTTAAATACAAAATCTAAAGTAAAATTAGTTAACAATGATTTTAATATCAGAAAAATCTGAAATAATCGAAGAAAATAATTTTAAAGAAAATATCAAGTAATTGTTAATTTTTTCGGATCATGTAATCGTTATTTCAGTTGTAAGTGAAATCTGGAAGATTATTTGAAAATTTATCTGTAATTAATCCAAGTTTGTGTTGATAATGCTGCCACCTAGCGGACATGATCCAGACTAGAGCTTCATAATGCTGCCACCTAGCGGACATGATCCAGACTAGAGCTTCATAATGCTGCCACCTAGCGGACATGATCCAGACTAGAGCTTCATAATGCTGCCACCTAGCGGACATGATCCAGACTAGAGCTTCATAATGCGCCCCCCTAGCGGACATGATCCAGACTAGAGTTTTCATAATGCTGCCACCTAGCGGACATGATCCAGACTAGAGCTTCATAATGCTGCCACCTAGCGGACCTGATCCAAACTAGAGCTTCATAATGCTGCCACCTAGCGGACATGATCCAGACTAGAGCTTCATAATGCTGCTTCCTAGTGGACCTGGTCCAGACTAGAGCTTCATAATGCCGCTACCTACTGGACCTGGTCCAGACTAGAGCTTCATAATGCTGCTACCTAGTGGACCTGGTCCAGACTAGAGCTTCATAATGCTGCCACCTAGCGGACCTGACCCAGACTAGAGCTTCATAATGCTGCCACCTAGCGGACCTGATCCAGACTAGAGCTGAGCACATTAGCTGTTTTTGTATCATTCAGTGGATAGACTCGGTGCAAGTTGGAGGTTGCACTCCTGCACTCTTCTGGCGGCTTGGGGGGGCTGGCGTGGGCTAGAACCAAACATACACTGTTCAACAACAAAAGCAAGGCTTCCCTCTGTGTCTATTACTTCTTCCAGCGAGATGCCAACCGCACGATACTCTATAGTAATTGCTGGGAAAGGCGCCAGTATACTTATTTCACTCTGTTATCTAATATATTAATCTTAATAGCTTAGATATTTAATTTGTATATTATCTCCCTTGTGTATATTCTCATGTTAAAGAAAACAAGAAAGAAGACGAGGTAGCAGTGAAATATTAATGTCTGTTTACAGTGTGCAAACAACTCTTGCTATTCTGGACTCCATGGAAGGTAGAGCTTCATCGTGAGCTCCTTCTTAGGTTCCCTTCATGGTGAGGGGGGGAAGAGCCTTGATGTTGAAGAGGGACTCTTGATCCAACGAACTGCAGCTACCCCTTTTCTTTAGATCAAACCTGATTTCCTCCCAATACCACGTTATAAATCTTGCAAACAAAGCGGCCAGAAAGCTTACATCAGTCAGATGTATTTCGCATTTATTCAACAGTAGGGGTTGCAAGATTCTATATGGGGCATAAATACGCTCACACCTTGAGAATGCTCCACTTTCTTGAATTGCCTCACCCCATCTCTCCTGCGACTTCTTGACAGAATAGAGAACAGTAAGACGACTCATCTCTCGCCCGGACCCAGCCTGGACAGACGTCGCTTTTTGACCACTACAGGTTTAATGCTTCCCACGATGGTTAGAAAAGGTTCGTCAGGAAAAAGGACAAGTGGTTCCTGACGTGGGTCTTAGTCATTTGATGACCCGCCGTTGGAACTTTTGATCATCTGACCGAGGCCTTCCACTGGTTCACCATTCCACTCCTTTAAAAATTATTTTCATAATTATAACCATTTTAGTATCCCACAGATACAAGCATAATAGTTGAGGATGACGCCATGACCCAAGTGACAGACTGTAGGTGTCCGAATCTCACCCTGTACTCACATTAAACCTACAATTCTTAACTTCTCTTCAAGTTCTCCTTTTCCTCAAGCACCCCTCTCATCAGTTACCCCTTTTTCAGTTTCCCCTCTCAACTGGTCTCCCCCTTTTCAGATCCCCCTGTACACATAAACCCTTCTTGTCAGGTTTCCCTGTCCTTAGGTATCCTTCTACTAGAGTCTGTCTTCAGGTCCCCTGAAATACTAGTAGTGAGTGGTATACCTGGAGTATACTTGGAGGGTGTTCCTGGTATCAACGTCTCCGCGGCCCGGTTCATGACCAGGCCTCGTGAAAACATTAAGACAACAACTATAGTCTGATAAAATTATATTCTTAATCCCTAAAACTGGTATAAAAATATGTTTTCTGTGTATATACAACAGAGGCCTGATCTCAGTCCGGGCCGCGGGGGCGTTGACCCCCCGAAAACCTCTCCAGGTATACAAAGATGAAAAATTATTTTGTGCACATAAAATGATGATTATTATTATTATAATCAAGGGGAAGCGCTAAACCCGTAGGATTATACAGCGCCTGGGGGGGGGATATGTAAGGCATTCAGGCTTAATTCGGGGAACTGGAGCACAGATCCAATTCCCAAAATCAAGAGCCCCTCACCAACATCAAGGAACCTTCCCTGAGGGGCGTACAATGATGAACATGTCGGTGCATGTCATGCGTAGTGAACTGTGAGGAACGACTAATTTCTAAAACCTGATTTTATATAAGAGAGCTTTTTAAGAGGTCTAATTTTTTGATAGACAACTGGTATTTCTGTTATACAACTAGCATAGGTAAAACACTGCTGGTATTCCGCTCAGTGTATTTTCGTCACTAGTGTTGGTATTGATGTCAGTGGATTATATTTTTGGTCATAGGTGTGCCCGTGTTTATTTCAAGTGCCTCCGAGTTGCTCTGCTTTGAGCACTTCAAGGTGAAGGTGGCAAAAAAAAAAAAAAAAAGGTCTATCGCATTCCTATGGAGAAAGATCGTCGAGACAGTGATTACTTCCAACAGTGATTACATTCACAGTGATTACATTCATATTGATTACATTCACAGTGATTACTTTCACATCCACAGTGAT